AGTTTTGTTTGCTTCACCAGATGAACAGGGAGATGAACCATTATATCAAAGAAAGACAGTGGGAAAAACATCTCCAGGTGATAGAGGGTATTCACAATATCGGTCTGCAGCCCATCTAGATCTTCTGGATCTATAACCTTCTGTCCAATTGCATTGAAGAAGGCGCACAGACGTTGGATCGTGTGACGCACTTTCGGTGGTAGAATGCCTCTGATAGCAACTGGCAAGATTTGTGTGATTAGCACGTGGCAATCGTGAGACTTCATTCCAACAAGTTTTAGATCGTCCAATTTAACATACTTACTTATCCTCGCTGAATAGCCCGATGGAACTTTAATATCCTTCAAGCATGATAACATTGCGATCTTCTCATCCTTCGACAGTGTGTGGCAGGCTGGAGGGAGGTACACTTTACCTGTCTCTGCATCTCGTATGGGCTGGAGTTCGCTGCGAATATTCATGTCCTGTAGATCAAGGCGCGCGTTCAACCCGTCCTTTGTCTTCCCGGGAATATTCAACATCAGGCCAACCAAACTCTCACACACATTCTTTTCTACATGCATGAGATCAATGCAATGACGGACATCAAGATCTTTCCAGTAAGGTAGCCGCCAAAATATGGATTTTTTCTTCCACATACCCTTCTCCTTTGTCTTGCTACGTTTTCTTTTCTTCCTAAACTCATTGCTTATGTCCTTGACCATATTGTGGACCTCATCTCCGGACAAATCTTTGGGAGCAGGCTGAAGTTCTCTCTTACCATTAAAAATTTTCTTCTTTCTTCTAAATGTGTGACGTAGCGGGAGCCACCTCCGGTGACCCATGTATACCATCTTTCATGATTTCTTCAGCCACCGGCTTCGTGTATGTTCCTTGCAATCGGAGCATGCCTTCTTTCCTTTTATAGTTTGTCCGGAAAGATTACCGAGTGCAAGGTAGTCATTAATGGTGCAGAATAATAGAACTCTTAGCTTGAAGTTCTCCTAACCATATGCATCCCAAGTTTCCACACCTTCTTTCCAAAGAATCTCCAGATCGTCGATAACAAGCTCCAGGAATACATCGATATCATTGCCGGGTTGCCTTGGACCTTGGATTAACAAGCACAACATAATATATTTCCGTTTAAAGCATAACCATAGCGGGAGGTTATAGTTCGCAATAAGAACTGGCCAAGTGCTGTGAGTACTACTCATGTCACCGAAAGGATTCATGCCATCCGTACAAAGACATATCCTCATGTTTCTAGGGTCGGCAGCAAAGTCTTTGTGTTTTCGATCTATATTCCTCCATTCAATCGAATCTGCTGGGTGTCTAAGCATACCATCATTCCTTCTTTCCGTGGCGTGCCAACGTACTAACTTCGCTTCGTTCGGGTTGGCAAAGATTCTCTTGAAACGATCAATGATAGGTAGATACCACACAACCTTTGCCGGACCACCCCTCTTTGACTTATTTCCTTCGTCAGCACTTTTCTTTCGCTTGTATCGAGAAGCCTTGCAGACAGGACAAGCATCCAAGTCCGCATATTGCTTGTGGTACAATATGCAGTCGTTGGGACAAGCGTGAATTCTACGGATCTCTAACCCCAGTGGACACAGAACCTGCTTTGCTTCGTATGTCGTCTCGGGCAATGTGTTCTCAATAGGAAGCATAGCCTTCAAAATTCCTAAAAGATCTGTGAAACTCTTGTCTGTCCATCCACTACTTGCCTTCAGCTTCATTAGGTTCAAGGTAACTGACAACTTAGTGTGTTTTGCTTTGCATCCAGCGTACAAAGGCGTCTCGGAATCACTTACCAACCTGCTGAATTTCATTCCATCTCTCTCATTCTGGGCTGGGTCCTCAACGTCACGTAACATGTTTTGCAGTAGATCGTGATCCACATCAACTATTTCACCGCCCAATAGAGAAGGTATAAACATGTCATGCTCATTTTCATCTTCCTGATTATGCGCACCACTTCTGTCTGCTGCTACTCCACTTCCTGATTCTTGCTCTCCATGCTTCACCCAACATGTATAGCCCTCCATGAATCCTCGTTGTATCAGATGACCGTGTACGTCCTCTCCACTATCAAACATATTCTCGTTCTTGCAATCTGCACATGGACAACACATGTAATCACTGTTTCTTCTTATCCGATCCTCCTCCGCGGCGTTCATAAAATTTATTATGCCCTTTCGGTACTCCGTAGAATGACGTTTCAAATTTTTGGCATACATCCAACTTCGATCAATTGCTACAAAAAAAAACAAATTAGAGGCACATATTATAAGATCAGTATTGCAAAAGTAAGACGTGATGAAATTGCTCAATTAATGATTTATATTACTCACTTGATTGATCCATTTTGATCATTTTTGGGAATTTAATTTCTGTTTTCCTTGGAAAAAGGACAAAAAATCGCCCTCTATAGCCTCCCACCAAAATAGTGAACAGTGGGATACAGTTACACTAGGTGGTGGGGGGTATTTATACTGTGCAACAAATATCTGTAACGGCCCTAAAACAATCAACCGTGACGGGCATACAAGTAATCTCTATCGGGCCTTAATAAAAGGCCGTCAAAAAAAGAGTGTCATCTGTGACGGGCAATAAACTTATCTCAATCGGGCCTCTAGTTGGAGCCCGTCACAGATGACCCTCATCTGTGACGGGCTTCTTTTAGGGCCCGATTGAAATATGGAACCCTCATCTCAATCGGGCCTCAACTATAGCCCGTCACAGATAAGTGTCATCCGTGACGGGCTTTAGTTTTATGCCGATATACCATGGCTGTGCGACCATATCTCAATCGGACGAAACTTCAGCCTGATTGAGATTACTTCTTTGTGACGGCCCGCAAATTCCAGTCTTATTATGGGCCGTCACAGATGGAAGAATCTGTACTAATGCTTATACAATGATCCTCTGACTGGTGGGCTCGTACTGGCACGGCCATATAGAATCAACGATGTTCTATCCCTCTTCATAAGAGGCTATTGCGATGATGGCTCAAGTCATGCCACTTATGCTCGAGCAGTTGCGAAAAAATAGCCGTGTTATGTGATGTCAGGAGTGTGTGTACCATCAGTTCAAAGAACGGTGTTGTTTATCGTTCACAATATTTACTCCTATTTAGCATTTGTAACAGAAATAATCTATGGAGTGTGCAATGCAAGATGTACGAAGGAATAGTTCCTTTTCACCTTTTGCTTTAAGATCCTGATATAATACTCCTTCTGTCCAAGATTATAAGGGATAATGGCCCCTTGGTCTGTCCCTAATTATAGGGGATTTTGCTTATCCCAATGAGCTAGTTACAGCAGCGATCAACTCATCTGACAAGCTCATGGCTATTGGTAGTAGTGCTATTTAATTTTGGGTGGCATGTTTAAATTTTGAGTTTCAAATTTTGATGTAGATGTGGAAAAATATGTCCTGACAAACTCACGTGAGATTGTTAACTGATTGTGTTCTTTCATTCTTTGATATGGAATGCTGGTGAGTTTCTATAATATATCCTTCATATATCATCAGAAGAGTTCGAGAACTGTGTTTGTGTTAATGATTGCTTTGAACATTCGCTTTAGTATTTGAAGGGAGCATCAACACATTGTTTTTGACTGAAATGGTTCATGGTTTGATGCTTACACTCAGGAGTATTCGAGAGGATAGTATACATTTAAGTGGTGAGTTCACCATGCTATATTATATCGATAATGTAATTGTATGAGTGTATTTGCCTAAAAAGATTGTATGCTTATATTTACCTTTTTAGCCTACATCCGTACAAATCAACTATCCATTTGAGATGGGCCATTTTTTTAGTCCCAGCTTCCGATGAGAGCGCTCTCTAACCTTATCAACTAGAGAAGAGCACATCACATCACATGTAAACTACTCAATCCATTCTAAATAGGTGCATATAATAGAATGGAACATATCCTGTGCATATCTGAACGTATAATATATCACATCTTACACTAGATACATTTATTTTGAGACGAAAGAAGTATATGAAACTGTAAGTATCATGTTCCTGAATACCACGATGCTGTGCATATGTGATCATGACCTTCGATATTACAAATAAATAAACAAAAGTCATGATGTATATATTTATATTTTCTGGCAAGAGAGAACCCATCAGAAAGAAAATTGCATAGAGATATACAAATTAGGCTGTCAATGCCAAAGCTTGGTGAGTTTTAATATAGCTATTCTTGGCAGGGCAAAAATTGTGTTTGAATTTTTAGAAAAATAGTTTAAGTTAACTATTAAAATAACCTATATTTGTCAAAGTTTAGCTTCGATTTGAATTGACACTACACATTCTTATAATTACCGAATATTGGTAAGGTAATCTAGAAGACAAACCCAATCAACCATCCATAATCGATTAGCCATGACGCACGCGCGGCACGGGCCACCATCGAGTATTCGAGTGATGCCACAACGGCAAACAGAATGGATCGGCAGGAACAATCAACCGAAAGTGAGTCAATCATGTCATATCAAGGGAAGCTGGCAGGAATCCATCCGAAAAAATTTCTACGGCCAGGATCAAAAGTGGAGAAAGGACGTGGTGACGTAGACGGTGCTGATGAGTCAGACTGTCATCGCTTGCCGCCCCAGGTGGGCCCCACCCTCCACCACCTCTCGCATCGTCCACGTCCAATTAACTCCGAATCGCGGAATCCGGGCCCACCTCCAGCCCACCGACAGGTGGGCCCATGGGAGCCTGCTTTTCCTACGTGGACCCACAGGGGCATCAGCGCAGCCTCGCGTACGGACAAACCGGCCTTTTAACTACATCCTGCTCCACCCAAACCCTCACAGGCAGGTGGGCCATCACTCACGTGGGACCCAATATCCAGTGGCACCGACGTGGAAGAGCAAAGCCGTCCACGCAAGCTATAGCTTTTGTCGCTGGCGGTTGGGCCCCGCCGGTCAGTGACCCAGGGGTGGCCGCGGCCGTGTGGTTAAATCGTTTCCCTTTTCCGCACCGGCCGCCTCTCCCTCTCCTCCTCACCTGGCGCGCCGAAGCTTCTCTCCTCTCTCTCAACTCCGGCGAGAGGAGGAGGCGGCGGTGGGGCGTTCGTCGGGAGAGAGACCAGGGCCGGGGGGCTAGGGTTCGGCCGTTCAGAGAGGCGGCGGCTGAGGAGGAGGAGGAGGAGGAGGAGGGGGTGAGGAGAGATGTCGACGCCGGCGAGGAAGCGGCTGATGCGGGACTTCAAGCGGCTGCAGCAGGACCCGCCCGCCGGAATCAGCGGCGCGCCGCACGACAACAACATCATGCTCTGGAACGCCGTCATATTCGGGTAGCCACCCACGCGCCGTAGCCACCCTCATCTCAGGCGCTAGGTTTTGGAGCCGAGGGGATCTCGCAGAGCTTGTGATTTTCCTATTCGTTGTGGAGTTATTTTTTTTAATTTTTTGTGTGGGTTGATTTGGTTCTGATGTCGTTTGCTTGTCATGTCTGGTACGATTTTGCAGACCGGATGACACGCCGTGGGATGGAGGTGAGTCCATTTGACTTTTCCCCTTATTTTGTTCTGATCAAGATATCTAGTTACTAGTGATTGTGATAATTTGGTGTTTGGTGAATGAAAAATTAATGTTATGCGGATTTGCAAGTTATCAGATACTGCGCGTAAAGGTTCCATTTTGTTCATCTGATTTCACGTGTAAAAAAGAGGAAACACCGAAACAGCAACCTCCCTACTTAAACTCAACTTTGTGCTTCGTTTTGTTTACGTCTTGGTTCGCTTCTGATACAGGAAGCTTATAATTAAGCCATTTGTGACTGTGATGCATTCTTGTTTACTGAAAAGTTAGAGCTTGATCTTCTGATGCGTTTGATTTGTGCTTTATTGACAAGGCTTTCACTAGGTAATGAAAAAGCATATGATTGGCATGTTTATGAAATTACAGGCTGTATGCATTTTTACCCAACAAATGCGGACACTCTAACAAGTAAACGACACTTTAGAGTAGAAAATGAGTAGCTCTTTCTCATACAGCGTGGCATGCTAACAATAACAAGCACACACATTAGAGCTCTTATAAGAACTTTCTCCATACCACTTGGAATTATAAATCGAAGAACATACCCATAACGTTCTCATCGGAGTTACTTTATCTGCAGTACTCAGAGCATGTTATGATCAGGTTTGGTTATTGTGCTGCTCTGTGAAATGTGGTTGTTTACAAGAATCTTTACTGATCCATAGGATTACTTTTGTTATGGCAAAAAGGAAAGTGTTTCCAACCTAGTTTTTGTGGTGAAAAGTAGGGAAAAGCTTTTGAAAAGCCATCACAGAGCCAAGTATGAGCCTTAATAGAATTCTGCTCATCTCTTGCTTAATCATACTCTTAGACTTATAGAGTCCAGGAAGGCTAATGGGTGATCAGTCGCGCGCGCCTTCCCCCGCTTGACTCGACACGTGTCGTGCGGGGAGGGGGCACGGGCGGCGGCACGGCGCGCAGTTTCTTTTTTTTTTCTTTCCCCTCCTCCCCCGCACGTTCCTTTCTTTTAGTTTTTTCTGTTTTTTTTCCGCAGTTTTTTTGTTTGTTTTTTGCGCACGGTTTTTTAATACGTACGTGTACAAACTTTGTATACACGTTACAAAGTTCATATATGTGTATACAAAGTTCGTATATGTGTTTTTTTAATATGTACATATACAAACTTTGTATACGTCGTATACAAACTTTGTATATATCGTATACAAACTTTTGTATATGTGTATATATTTTTTATACATAAAAAATGTATACATATTAATATTAATACACACACACACAATATATGTACTTTGTATAGACGTATATAAAGTTTATACGTATATATATAAAAAGTATTTTATACGTATGTATATAAAGTATATACATACGTATATACATGCACTGTAGAGGAGAGAGTCAGAGAGACTAAAGACGTTAGAACTGACCGTGCGCGACTGATCGCCAATCAGCCACCCCCTATAGAGTCTGTTAGTCTTAAATTTGAAAATATATTTTTTTTCATAATTTGCGTATACACGGGCGCTGAGGAATAGCAGAAATATTCCTATTCCGCGAGCTGGAGATGCGGGAGCGCGACGATACTGCAGGCTGGCGGCGCAGGGGCACGGTACCGTAGCACGGGAGTGCGGGACCGGCTCGGTCGCGCAGACCGGGGGTGCAGAACCGAGTCGGTCCCGCGCGGCGGCTGTGCGCGTTGCTGTAGCCCACGGGACCGCCTGCCAGCCCGGCCGATCGCGCAGAACGGTGGCGCGGGTCCAAAGCGGTCTCGCATGACCAAGCTGCGGCACCGAGCCGGTCTCGTAGGGCTCCGGTGCTGCTTTCCTAAAGCGCGGGAGCGCACTCTCTTCGCATCCCCATTAAGCTGCACCGCACTGAAAGTTGTTTGTCCCCTGGCTCCATGTGACATGCCTAGCGAGAAACGGCACCGCACCGAAAGTTGTTTGTCCCCTGCCGTCAGCTCCATGTGACATGCTCAGCCAGGAACAAATGGGAGAGCGATTGTCTTCTCTCTTAGCTTTTTTCATATGGCGTCCGCCGAAAGTTTTTTGTCGTCTGGTTAGAGAGCTTACTCGTCGAGTGCCTATAGAAGGGAACGTTACGAAATGAAAGAAGCAGACTCAAGTATAGCATATAACTCATATTTGTAGACTTTATCATTGGTGTAAGCTTCAATATGTTAGTGCGCTTGGCGAATTCGCATGCCCTATCTTGTGGTATGAACTGAGCACACGATAATTTATGGTGCGTATTGGGGGCTTACAATAAGATAATGCCGTGAATTTGCTAAGCGTTCAAACCCACTGAAGTGTTGTGTGAAGGTAAATATTTGTAAGTGTTCGTGAAGGAAAGACATGCAAATATTTTGAATTTATTTATTTAGAAATGTAGCTGACATATTAGAAAGTTTTAACACACAACATTACATATTAATTAGAATAAGAAAAATATAAAATCGTTCTACTCATTAGCCTCATCATCGAAATTTCAGGATGTGCTAGTGTCCTTTTTCTTTCCCTTTCTTCTAGCACCAGCTGGAGGTCTGCGTCTTGACAAAAATAATCTTTCAGGTGAATGTCGCTCGCGAACAGACCTACGTGCCACCTAAATACCGTTGAAATCAACGTGCCTGTAGTCTTGGGTCAGCTGAGTTATTGGAGGCGGTTCATCAATCTGCGACGGTCCTATCTCGTGTTGTGCTGTTGACGACCCCCCACCGTAGCTACATGGTTCTCTGTAGGACTGTGTGCTGCCGGCATATCCCATTATTTATTGGGGGTGTACATTCCTACAAAACATTGAATCCAAAGTTGTAGCGCACACACATACTGGAACTAAAATATTTTATAGTAAATTACAATTTGTACCCGTTGTTTGTGGTTGCATGATAGGTGCTTAGGAGTTATGCCATGTAGCTAATTTAGCTATCATATTAGCAAGAATAGGGATACCTCGTTTAAAATGGAGCCATTCTATTTGTGAACATTGGAGTAAGAAATTGTAGACTTAATTTTTGGAAGCTCTTTAAGTATAGCCGATTGTTATCATTTATCAATCATCAGGACAAAATAAAGTAGTTCTTTTGGGTGCGGTTAGACCATGTCACCATGACTAAATCTTCATTGTTTAACTTTGATATTTTTTAGCAATAGTGTGATGGGACCATAGCAATTAGATGGCAGCTTCATTTGATGGCCTATTTATTGTTTGAAATCAACTACAAAAGAGTGATAGAATGTATAGGAAAAATCACCGGATGGAAACTCTTTTTAGTATTTGGTGACCACATTTTTTGCATATGGTACCTCCAATCTTATGGCCTTCAAATAATTGATGAAATGCTTTTGACATACACAATTGGTAACATGATCACTCCCTTTGTCTTTGTATGTCAGGATTGCAAATTTGCAACCTCATGTAATCCTTTAAAATCACATCGATTGAAATGAAGTATGTTTTGTGGTGTTATTACTTATGAACATTATTTCATGTTTAAGTTAGTACTAATAAGTGATTTTGTCACATAGGCACGTTCAAGCTGACACTACAATTTACAGAAGATTATCCCAACAAACCACCAGTTGTTCGGTTTGTCTCAAGGATGTTTCACCCAAATAGTATGTCTCATAACTTGATAATTTGACCACTTCATTATCTTTGCAAGCTACTACATTATTCCCAAGAGATTGAATTATTGAAGATATACACAACTAATTGTTTTTGTTATCCGTTCAGTTTATGCAGATGGAAGTATCTGCTTGGATATCCTACAAAATCAATGGAGCCCTATATATGATGTTGCTGCGATATTGACCTCTATCCAGGTATCATTTGAACCTTCGCAGAGTGTCCTAACAATCACATCGATAGCTTCACTTGGTTTAATGCTTTCCCCTGGTTGTAGCTCACTTGATTACAATCATTTATATATGATAGAAAATACACGCATATTCTGTATTTTTGTCATGTCATTGGTGTAGAGGTAATTCCAATATTGAGGAAATCCTTTCCTCCTACTATAGTTGCATACACCAAAGTCATTATTGACAGTCGTTATTGTTTTCCAAACAACCTGCTATATGGGTAATGTGACACCGATAAATTAGTTATCAATAGCATCTGCAGCCTGATTCTAGGATGATTAGAGCCTTTCATCCATGTCATGTTGCTGTACGGGTTATTGACCTACATTTGCTGACAAATAATGGCTTGGGGGACCATAGTTGATGTCTTCCTGCCTGTAATCCTCAGTTCCACATTGAGCTTAGCTGTTTCTGTTTTGCCTTTTATCTGCAGTCCCTGCTCTGTGATCCAAACCCAAACTCCCCTGCAAACTCCGAAGCAGCCAGACTGTTCAGCGAGAACAAGCGCGAGTACAACCGCAAAGTCCGCGAGATTGTGGAGCAGAGCTGGACGGCCGACTAAGCCAAGGACATGATTGAGTTGCAGTTTCTGCAACAAGCTTCTCCTAAAGATATGCAATTCTGGCTTTCCCGGTCTGTATCACCTACTAAAAACATAAAAAATCTTCAGTTGTTGTAATTCCTGAGCTTGATCCCCTGCCTTCCCCTACTTGTTTTCCCAATGTAGTGGCTACCTATTTGATGAATTTATAAGGTATTGATGCTTATGTAAAGAATTATACTCCCTAGCCAAGAAGTTGCTGTTGCTGCTAGGTTGCAGAAGCCTCTTGAATCCTCCGTGCTTTCTCGCTGTACCAGCGTTCAGTCACGAGAAGGTTGGTGATGCTGTAATTGGCAGCAACCGCAGCTGTTTTTATAATTATCACGGAACTCTGACCGTTGGTAGTAGAAACTATTCCAGCTTTAATATTGACAGAACGATACAGGGGCTTGCACAGCACAACATTATTTGTACGCCTAAAAAGCACATATTATTGTACGCCTAAAGACAAAAAAGAAAGAAAAGAAGAAAAAACAAATGAAGGCGTTTCTGAGATTTAAAGGATTCAGTGAGCAAACACGATCAGGAAAGGGGAAGGTTGTGTGCATCAAGACAGAAGCACAACCCGGAGGATCAGTTCCATCAATATCTTTCATCTTCAGCTTGCCTCCTGCCTGTCTCAAAATTTCCATCTTCTGTTGCAGCCTGCAGCCACACTGATCCACGAGCTGACGAATCCTCACATTCTTTTTCCCGCCCAGACCTGTAAGAACAAGCTGAACTTTAGAATCCTTCAAAACAAAGGCAAAAGCTCTTCCTCATTTCATCCATACACACCAATCCAACAATAACCTATCAACACTACAAATCTAACAAATCAATCTTGGTTTGGAAATGTGAATGTGATGGTCACTTGATCAGAGGATACTTGATTGATTTGGATGTATGGCACACCTGGTTTGCTCATTCTGGAATCTGGAGGATTTCGTGATCCGGGACGACGACGACACCATTGAACCGTCGCTGCTCCGGTTATCTCCTTCCCAGTCGTCCTGCACCTGTGCAGCGAACTGCAGGTTCCAGAGGACGTCCTCGATGGACGGCCGCTGCACAGCCTCCTTGGCCAGGCACCTCAGGCAGATCTGCATGATCGTCCTCAGCGACTCGTCAGAGCATCCCTTGCTCACCTCCTGGTCGGCAAAGCTCCTCCTCCTCACCAAATCCTCGTCGGCGACTGCCCATAGCATCTGAAAAAAGGAGTAAAGATTCAGAGATTGTGCTGTGCATTGCTAGGTGGAAATTCAGAGGTTGGCATTTTTCATGTGAAACAATGGTTTTCAGGTGATGGTCATGTCTCATACCAGTTCTTTCATTATCTCAACCTCATATAAGGATGTGATTGGCTTTCCAGACACGATCTCAAGAAGGATCACCCCGAAATCGAAGATGTCGGTTTTATCGTTGAGCAGTGGGCTGCAAAATAACACATGCAGAATTCAGTGGGTTTTTTTTCACTAGATTGTACTGATTGAAACTACCAGATCATAGGCATATGTACGGATCAAGTCCTGATAAGTACCTTTCAGTATGGTGCTTGCCTCCAGGTCCTCCCTTCTTGGATTGACAAACATCATAACATTTCTAGTCAGCAACAGCCAGAAAAACAAATTACCAAGGACTGTTAAAAATGACTGATCTACCTCAGATTTCATGGCCTCTCCTAGGATTGGGATATTGTAGCTGCTGATCTTCGCGACATGATTCTGATCGAGAAGAATGTTGTTGATCTTCAGATTGTTTCCAAACAGGCCAGGCATCATCCCAGCATGCAAGAACTGAATGCCGTTGGCGATGCCGATGGCAGCTGATATTCTCTGTGCCCATGTAAGCTTCCTTCCTTCAGTTCCTTCTGGTGAAAATCAGTACAGGATGCAGTGCAAAGCAACAGTCAGTGACTGAATACTGCAAACAACTGAAAAGAAAAACAATGAAGGAGAACAGCTGACAATTTAACATACGCGAAATCCTGCTCCGTAGGTTCCCGTTTTGCACGTATTCGAACACGAGGTACAGCTGAGTGACAGTAGAATCATCAAGATCATACTCGAAGCAGTGCCCGAGAGCGCTGACCAAGTTCCGGTGTCTGAGCCTAGAAATTGTTTCAATGTGGCGACTGAAGCTTAGGGAAGACTGATTCCTCTTAACCTTCAGGCTCCTGATGGCCACTAGTGTGCCATTGCCTAGTCTCCCCCTGTACATCTGACAAACAAACAAAGATCTGATCTCAGCTCCCAAGCTTTTCAAAATGCAGGACTTATTCATCACACTCATATAAGCCCGTGAGGTTAATTTGAACAGAATACAGTGAATTTCATGCATCAATTAGTTGTAGGTTGCTCAATGGGTAATTTTACCATCCTTAAAAATGTACTGAGAGATACCACATTTTGTATTGTAAATTTGATAACTTCAGGTGCTAGGTATCTTGAGTATCTAAACTTTAACTTGCTTAGGGACCATAAAATTTCTCTTGCTCAATAGAGTCTGAACTGATCAATGGAGAAGATTGGCATACCTCGCCGAAAGAATCTTGCCCCAGTAGCAAAGAGTTCTCAAAGTTGTCAGTGGCAGCTTCAAGCTCAACCAAAGAAAATGTTCTGTATGGTGGAATTCCCAGAGCTCCCAGCTTCACTGTCTGTGATATGTAGCCTGTTTTGATTTTGTCGCAGACACCAGTAGGAAATCAAATCTTAGTGAATTTTGACATCAAATTTGGTGAAATTTTAGATAAAATTCAGTGATGAGTGAGAGACAAATCAAATCATACGTGCATCGGCGAACATCTTGGATGGGTAGCCACTCGTGCTTGAAGAATTGTCTTCTCCCAACATCGCCGGTGGCCTCACCATTACGCCTTTCTTGTTCTTCCTCCTCACGGCGACGACGGCGACGACGGCGATGGCCGACGCGGCGGCGAGAGCCGCCATTGCAATGCCGGCGAGGAAGCCGGCGTGATGTGTGAGCTTCTTCCTCACCTTGCCGCCGTGAGTTATCCCCACGGCCAAGGCTTGGTTCTGGCAGAACGGCGACGGGTGCTGCGACGCGTCGCCGCCGGTGGCCTCGAGGCAATTGGCATTGACGAGCACCACCGTCGCCGGCTTCTTGTCCGGCCTCAGGCAGGCCGGCTCGCTGCCGGTGAGGAGGTTGGAGGACAGGTCGACGAACTGGAGATTGTCGCCGCAGGCAACCTTGTCGGAGAGCACGCCGGTGAACCTGTTGCCGGCGACGTTGAGGTAGCGGATGGCCGGCAGGGACAGCAGCGCCGGCATGAACGGGCCGACGAAGCGGTTCCACGACACGTCGAGCCGCTCGAGCAGGTAGAAGGAGGTGATCTCGCCGGGGAGGCCGCCGGTGAACCTGTTCCGGCTGAGCACCACCGTGACCACCTTCCGCCCCAGCGCCGGGAACGCCGGGCCGAGCCAGTTGTCGCCGACGTCGATCACCTGGAGGTTGGTGAGGCCGCTCATGTCCGGCAGGTTCCCCGTCAGGTTGTTCGACGCGAGCACCAGCGACCTCAGCGACTCCATGCGACCCACGGACGCCGGCACGGCGCCGCCCAGCGAGTTGTTCCGCAGGCTCAGCACGGCCAGCTGCGGCAGCTCGCCGATCCACGCCGGGAGCTCGCCGGCGAGCAGGTTGTCGTCGAGGATCAGCGTCTGGAGGCCGGTGAGCTGGGACAGCCCGCCGGGGACGCCGCCGTAGAGGTAGTTGCCGCTCATGTTGACGATCTCCAGCGCGGCGAGGCGGCCGATCTTGTCCGGCAGGGGGCCCCAGAGCCCGAGCCCGGACAGCGTGAGCACCTTGAGGTCGGGGAGCCTCGACAGCGCCATGACGAGCGCGCCGATGGAGAAGTTCATCGGGAGCGGCGGCGCGCCGCGGACGCCGGCGATGTGCAGCTGCGTCACCGTGTCGCCGTAGCACACCACGGCCGCCGACGGCGCCGCCGTGCCGCCGCCGCCGCAGAAGTCGGTGGTCCGGCGCCAGTGGCTCAGCACCGGCGGGTGGTTCAGCATCTGCTGGATCTTGAACAGCGTCCATGTCTGCGAGTACTGCAGCTGCGAGCTTCCCGGGAGCAACGCGAGCAGCGCTGCCAAGAAGACGACCAGGTGATGGCTTGCACCCGCCATTGGAGAAGCTCTCATCAAATGCTTCTTGATCAGCAAGAACCAGCAGAGAAGCAGAGCAAATCAATCTGTACTGCAAGAAATTAATCTCTGTACTCTGATGATTCCTTCACCTTCTCCTTCTACTACGATCAAGGACAGTGTGTACAAGCAACAGAGGAATCAAGGCTTTGATGTGTGTTGATAGTACCAGAAAGTAACCAAATCATCATCAGGAAGAGGAAGTGATCATCAAAGATCACATTTCTTGCCAGCTTGCTCCATTCTTGAACTGACAGTAACAAGACAAAAAAAAACAATCATGTTAACTGAAGAACACTCATGCACATCACTACTACCATTTCACAAGAACCAAACAACAAATCTAATCAACTGCACCTTACCTAGCTTAGGCAGTCACCGACTGGAATAGCAAAGAAAATCTTGCTCAGATGACTGACGAACTCAAGAACAGAACGGATAATAAACAACAAGAGAACCTTATTACAGTATACTGACCAGTGAGGCCTAGTGCAAGTATATATCCTCTGATTCTACTGTAACTTGTACTAGTACAATTGCTGGCTTGCCCTGCGCTGCACATCACTCACGGGTGGCTGGCAGAAGCATGAGGTAGCTGCAGGCATCAACGGACAGGTGTGTCTCCAACGATTCAGCTGGAAACGGGGAGCAGGCAAAAGACCAAGGACTAGCAGTCCCAGCGTTCACTTTTTCTCACTGTTGAGTCTTCAGAAAAAAGAAATATACACACACACCAGTGCCCTGCTCCTCTGCTTTCTTGGGATCACACTCTGATTGGTGCTTGTTAGGCTTAGAATAATGTGCTGCTTTACGCCTTAAGTTTGATTAGTAATTCTACTGATTAATTAGGAGTTATGAAATCAGTTTGACAGGCCTTAGTTTTACTTCAGAATGTTGCTTCTGATCTACTGTTCCACCAATTGCTTTAGGATCAAAACTGAAACTTCGATGATAAGCCAGTCCTGAAGCAGTAATTAGACGTTAGGACATATGCTGGTACTGCTGCACATTTTTGCACAGTAACAATCTGGCAGTGTTAAATGATGCTTTACTCTCCAAATGAACTTTTTTCCCTTGGTGAGTACCACATATCACATATGGCCCTTAGTTCAGCACCACTGTTAGCAAGTGTGGTGAACATTGCCCTTTTTTCTTTCAGTGCTTTTCCTTCTTTTCTTGGATTCTTTTATTTTTTTTCCTTTTAGCACTTTTACACCTGATGATGCCTCTCCTCCTTGCTTTGCATAAAGCCAAGGTAGAGGAAGCATCAAAGCACCCAGCAATCCTGGCATTGGAAGATGCACATAAATTGCAAGAGACACTGCAAGTAATTGTTTGCACTGAATCTTTGAACTCTGAAAACTTCAGATAACTGTTTGCACTGAGTCTTTGAACTCTGGAAACTTCAGATGGAGTAATTGTTTGCACTGAATCTTTGAGCTCTGGGAAGTTCAGATAATCGTTTGCACTGAATCTTTGAACTCTGAAAACTTCGTATAATTGTTTTGAAATGCTCTGGAGTTTGTGAGATTTCATCCATGCAGGTGATGGATGAAACATTATGAAATGAATGCCACCTTCTCCACCTAACTTGAGCAGCGCACTAGCTGTGCCAGTACACTGTCCTGCTTAGAGCAGAGCACACGAAAGTAATTCCATTTTGGACAGAATGAATGTCATGGGCAAGTGATTTTTTGGAACAGATTATGTACCTAACACACATCCATCGACTTCACACAAAACCGTGGCCCTAAAATTCAATGCCGTGGAGCAACGTGCATGTGCGTGTTAATGTTGTACAAGTACGGCGATGGAACTAACATGCTAGTAGTATTTCAACTTGTAATCAGGGTCCTAGGAAAAGTATGAGACATCAATTACCTTTTGTTGTAGGACACAAAAGAATTACGATGACACCAGGAAGTACATTTGTTCGTACACCATGGGTGGATGAATGTAGTATTCGTCCAGATTTAAACCCTAACATTCACAATTATTTCCTTGGAGTTAGTTAAGTCCAAATCTTAGTTATGAAAATGCCAGAAATGTAATTGGCTGAAATTTATTACTGAAAAAAATATGTGACCTTTGGTATATATGCATTTGTTGCACATATTTGCTGATACAACGAGAGATAAGCTACTCAAATGTATCCTCACCCTGAAACCAACGGTTACTCTTGAGGTACCTTAATTTTTGTGACAAAAAATGTCTAATAATAACCCTAATTACTGTTGTCCCGTCGTATGAGTATGATAGGACAATTGATCAAAAGCATACGGCACGAGCCACTAGCATGTACTGCGTCTACTGCTTCAAAAGCAAGAGAGACCGCAACTTTTACAGACTCATCACTCATCAATTAGGACGTACGGATTACTCGTACTAGTACATTAGTGCTACAAGAAATGCATTCTTTTTATAGGACGTAGGTAGTGTAGTACAATTGATAATTACTTTACAGCAGCCTCGGAGAAAAGAAATTAACGGTGTTCGATTAGCTGAAGCAAGAAATGCACTCCTTTTTTTAGAACTAAGAAATGCACCCTTGATATAATTTGAAACAAAACCTTATTGCTCTCCTTCTTAATGTATTTAAGGCAGAACTACTGCCAGAGTGCTAGTTACTTAAAAAAAAGGAATATTACATTATTTGAAAAAGTACCTAAATTTTATACTAAAATTGTTAATACCTTAAGATACTTAATATCTAGAGGTATTAAATTTTATATTAAAAATATGGTACGTCTCAGTACATTATCAAATATAGTAAAATTAAAAAAAAAAGCTGTAGGATTCTCCTCTCGTTATATACAGACGCGCATCAGTTAATCCCTGCAGGTACAGTACAGGTATATCATGCGAGTTGAGCTACAGTAACGCGCAGAATTCATTACTACCGGAATACACAGATCAAGATAAGGAGCGAGCAATTAATGTCTCTCTACTACAGGGTTTAACATAATGACCCAAACTGCAACTACATCAACCGAATCGTTTCCAGAAAACCATACAGAGAATTTGTACCACCGAAGATTGTGAAGCAAGCGAACGTCCCGGCGACGAACAAGCCAGTAATTCGTGCCCAACTTCTATCTCTCAATCCTCACGCACGTGTCGGGGTCCAGTAGCTTCGCTAGCGTTACACAGGTGCTGTTTGGATCCGAAGGGCTGCTATTAAATAGCCCTCCAGAATCTTGCTATTTAGGAGTATTAAACGTAGATTCCTAACAAAATCCATTCCATAACCTTTAGGCTATTTTGTGAGACGAATCTAACGAGGTATATTAATCCATAATTTGCTACAGTGATGCTACAGTAATCAGCTGCTAATCATGAATTAATATACATCATTAGATTCGTCTCGCAAAATAGCCTAGGGGTTATGGAATCGGTTTTGTCGGTAATCTACGTTTAATACTCCTAAATAGCAAGATTTCTGAGGGCTATTTAATAGCTCGGAGGATCCAAACAAAGCCACAGTTACACTGCACGAGCTATAGCGATCGATCTATCGATCGGCTCGCCATTTAGGGTCTGTTCACTTTAATGTCAAAAAAAACTTATCAAATTTTGTCATTGCTAAAAATTTGATATAGTTGTCAAAATTTTAGTATGATTTCTTATATAGTTACTAAAATTTGACAGCGAATTAAATATAGCTATTCTTTTTAGCAACATTACCAAAAATTAGTAAGATTGAAAATAGCTTCAAAGTGAACAAGCCCTTGCTGTCTACGCTGGGCGGCTTCTGGTCCGGTCTGGTGGTTGGCGTTTCCCTTGCCGCCATTACTTGCTGATCGATCGCCGAGGCCTTCTTCTTGGGTTCTTCCTCCTCCGTCACACATGCTCTGCGCCCAAGGATATGATCGCTCCGATCCACCGCGCGCGCCGCGGCGGCCACGGCCCACGGACCACGTGTGCTTCCGGGCACGCGGGGCGCGTGTCGTTTGGATCAGAATTAGCTGCTGCGTTATTGTAAGCTCAAGATACTGAAAGAAGCTATATAGCCGCTAGAAGTTCTTCGAGCAGGGCCACAGCTAAAAGAGAGATAGAGAGGAGAGTGTCTGGTCAACATCACATTTTACTACTCCCTCCGTCTCATAATAGGTGACGTTTTTGACTTTTTATTTGCAACGTTTGACCATTCGTTTTATTTGAAAAATTAGTACAAATATAAAAAAAGATAAGTCATATGTAAAGTACTTTTAATAATAAAGCAAATGACAAACAAAATAAATAATAATTTTAAAATTTTTTGCATAAGACGAATGATCAAACATTGACAAACAAAAACTCAAAAAGACAATTAATATGGGACGGAGGTAGTACTAAACTACTGCTCCCTCCATCTTAAAATATACTCCCGCCGTCCCTAAATATTTAACGTCGTTTACTTTTTTTAAACATGTTTGACCGTTCGTTTTATTTAAAAACTTTTATGAAATATATAAAACTATATGTATAGATAAAAGTATATTTAACAATGAATTGAAAAGAATTAATAATTACTTAAATTTTTTGAATAAGACGAATGGTTAAACATGTTTAAAAAGGTCAACAGTGTCAAGTATTTAGGGACGGAGGGAGTAATGGATTTTGGTTGTATCTGATATATATACTTTCTTATATTTTGGGTTGGAGTGGGAAACCCACACTTCATAAGGCTATTGTTTGTTTTGTTATCATATTTGTGATGTGCAATAGTTTTTTAAGCCTTAGGATCCACATGTTACGCGCTTATTATTTTAATCAAATATATTTCTAAGAAGTGTGGCCATCAATTTGTTAACTACACTTTTACTTAGGCTTACAAAATATGTCCAAAAGAGCGCATACGTTTCTACGTAAAGGCCATGAGCTTAGAAAATTTTCTAAGATGCACCTAAGTTTGATGGTATTCCACATGAGACGAAATAGGAGGAGCAAACCCCTATATAGTTTGAAAAAAGTACGAATTACCCCCCACCCCTCAACTATCGCCGTCGACTGAATTATCCCCCTGAATCACAAAACTGGACATTATTCACTCCCACGCAAACCAGACGAATTACCCCCCTCGACCCAATCCGCGGTGGTTTTGGTCTACGTGGCGTACACGTGGCAGTCCAGTCAATATTCTATTTATAAAAAAAATATGGGACCCACATACCATACTCTTTCACTCTTCCTCTCTCTTCTCTCCCACTCTCTGTCAGTCTATCTCATTCTTCCTCTCTCTCTCACAGTCGCGGGTCGGCGGTGGCGGTGGACATGGAGCCGTGGCGGCGGCGGCCGCGGGGGATGAGGGTGACGTGGAGGCGGCGGCGGCGGGGGACAAGGAGGCCGCGGCGGCGCGGGACGGACGGACGGAAGCCACGACGAGGAGCCGACCACACCTGCGCGCGAAGCAAAAGCAGCAGCCGACGCCACCGCAGAGCAAAAGCAGTAGGCGACACCGCCGCAGGAGTACAACGCCGTCTCGGTCGCGTTCACCTCCATGGCCGTCAACGCATCGTCATCGTCCCCCTTCGTCGTCGTCCTTCACTCCTCCATCGCCATCCTCCACTCCTCATCCCTCGCCGCCGCCTCCGCGTCACAGAGTGAGAGAGAGAGTGTGTGAGAGAGAAGAGAGAGAGGAAGGGTATGACATGTGGGTCCCACATTTTTTTTATAAATAGAATGCTGACTGGACTGCCACACGTACGCCACGTAGACCAAAACCACCGCGAATTGGGTCGAGGGGGGTAATTCG